CCCCATTCTACTCTGGCCCTTGTCGTTTTTCTATTGTTGCAACAAAGCTCACGTGTGTTGCACTTACACGAAAGCCAAATTGAAAGTGAGCATGCCACTGAAGTTTGTGGCAGTTGGGGCAGGCGCAGCTAAGCGGTTACAATGGGGCGGGGGGATAGCAGAAAGGGCAGAAAAATGCGTTTATAAATATATTTTAGTTTGTTGAACTACGGTATTTAAAGCAAACACTTTGTTTTATCCAAAAAGAGAATGCACGTTCGACGAGGAACCGAACTAAACCGAACTGCTTGGCTGCACAGCGAACTGCTTACACAGTTCTAAGCAGTGGAGAATTCCCTAGCCTCCCCTAATTCACCGCTTGAAACCACTTCGATCCACAATAATTGAACTGCTTGCAATTAACCGTTTTAAGCTGCTTTAACTGCTTGAATATTTTCCCTAATCTACTTGTCAGTTTTAATTACTTGCCACTCATGGCGAAGCAGTTGCATTAAGTGGCTTTTATCCTCTCTTTCGTTTGGCATTTCCTAGCTTCCCTTTTCTTTCGTTTAAGCCTGGCTTATTCCTGTCCGTTTTTTGGAGCTCTCCAGTTGAGCTCCCCATCGATTTCAATTGTTAATCATCGCTCGGAGTGCCATAAGCATTTGTGTAACTATGATTAGCTTTTTCTGCCCTCGCTGTGCCAGCCCTGTACCCTTTCCCCGCCCAGCGGCCGTTCCTTTCCGCCTCCACCATGTCTGTCTGCCATTTGGCTACTTAATTACAAACCAAAAGTGTTGCAAAGTGTGTCGTTGTCGCTGCCCTGCTCGTTCACCTACCAGACCGCCAGATTCCAGCGGATCCCAGCAGACCCCAGCAGAACCCAACAGACTCCTACTGTATATTGTCAGTTCTTCCTCGCCTGCACCACACAACCAACCCTAAGCAGAGACCCCACCCCACTTTCGGACCCTTTTGAGCTTCTCCTTGGACTCCCTTGTCCCTTGTCTGGTGTCCGGTCTGCAGACCACAATTATTTCCGTTTTAATGTTGCCCCTCCGTCGCCTCCGCTGCCGCAGCTTTTTGGTCATTTGTTCTTCGCTCGTTGCTCCTTTTTATTTCCTCGCTTTCTGTTTTTTTTTTTCTGTTGTTTTTGCGTTTGTGGGCGTGCTGGATGCTTTTAGCGTTTTAATTAAATTTGATGTTGATTGAACTTATGACTGCCGCGAAAGAGTTTTTCTGAAGTTTGGAGAATCTGCTGCTGATGTTGCCCCCTTCCCTCCCGTCAGCCCTTCTACCATTCACCATTCACTCTTTTGTCTGCTATACTCTGCCCCCGCACGCTGCGGCAGCTTCATTAAACCGAAAAGCATACTTTGTGGCTGCATGAAGCTGCTATTAGTGGTGGAGGGGAGCCACTGCCACTGCCCCCTGAGCAGCAGGGGCGCCGCTTGGCGTTTGTCTTAAGCTTCGTACGCGCCACAAAGTATGCAACGAATTTGAATTTCATTGGCAGTGCAGCGGAAAAGTTTTGCTCTCTCCGCTTTATGCATGTGTGTGTGTGTGCCCGCACGTGTATTATCGAAGATACTCGCACAGCAATGGCAGGCGGCACTCCTCTCGAACGAGGCAGAGGGGAGAGTTCTTCTTCTCTTCCAGGGATGGTGTTTAATATCAGCAGAAAAAGGGGATCCAAACGCTTTTGGCGGAGCATCTTATGTACGTGTCAGTGGAGCCACACGCTCCATCGCTCCTCTGCTCCATTGATGTGTGCTCCTTGCCTGTTCCTTGGATTGCACTTTTCCTTATTCTGCATCTGCATCTGCTCTTGATTCTGCCTCTGCTGCCTCTTGTGCCTTTGCTGCTGCGGCTGTTTTTTTTTTTCTCTTTTTTTAATTTCAAAATTCTGCCACAGAACCAGCAGAAAGTATGGCAAACCCCTGACGTTGCACTTTCACCGGACACGCTGCTGACACGTTAAGATTGAGGCTCTGGCTCTGGCACTGGCCCTGTCTGCTCCTCCTTCTCTCTTTTTTAGGTGTCATGCCATTGGAATTAGTAGAGCAGTTCTCTTCGGTTGAGCTTTCAGGTTTGCAGTTCTCCAGTGCTCAACACTCACCGCACTCGAAGGCGGTCGTTGGGTCGGCTGTTGGTTCGTTGGGGTCGGCCCAGGCGGCTGCTCTAATGAATTTGCATTTTTTATAAATCCCCATTGATGTGCTCCAGTTGTGGACTCTGGCCAGGCGATTGCACTCTTCATTCGTACCCTAAGAGGCAGCCGCCCCAGAGGTAGTTGCATTTTCCCGGGAAGTTTGTCGCAAAGAGGGGGGGGAGGCATTTCCAGAGGTTTGTGGACCAAAATAATTACAATCTAATGAAAAAGGTAACAATATCGGAATATTAATCCATCCATCTGCATGGAAGCGTATTTGCAGACTTCATCAGACTCAGACAACGATTCCATCATGCCAGAGGTTTTCATTTTGGTGGCTGGCTCGTTGCAAGCTTCTTGCATGCAATGTGTGTCATGGGGCATGGTGTGTGGCATGTGAACACGCCTAGTCGGGGTATTAGGGCCATCTCAACCATCTCAGCCCTTGACTGATGGACACTGAGTGGTGCCTGGCTCTCTGCCACTTCTGATGCTGCTGAAAATCCAGGGTTCTCTCTTTTCCTTTTTTCTTTTGCCCATTTTTGTTGCTTGAAGCCCAAAATGTTTGGACGTGCTTGCAAATGGGGTAAATGTGGAAATTTCGTGCTCAATCAAATCAAAGTCAGTGGCACCTTTGAAACCTTGGGAACGAGGAGCAGTTCTCAAGGCTGCTCGCTGTGGACAGCTCGTGGACTGTTGGACTCCTCCCCAAAAGATTCATGAATGTGGTTCGTATTGATTATTGAAACTGCAAAACGAGTGGGTGGTGGGGGCCAGAACGACGGGGCAGAGTTGTTCAGAATTAATTGGATGCATTGCCATTGGACCCTGGGATGGACCATCGTCCGTTGGCATTGAGCATGGCAGCTATCCCCAATGGCGTCATTAGCCGCTTGCCCCCAAAAAAAAGTCTTAAACTCGAATTAAAAAGGGTTCTCTTCGAAGTCTCTCTCTGTCTCTGTTTTCTCTCTGTGTCTGTCTCTATTTCTGTGGCTGTGGCAATTCCCCCCAGTGGTAGGTTCCGCCTGGCTTCTTAGCTTGGCGGCGGCATTAACTACAAGTCGTTATTATTGTCTAGGGTATTCATCGGCGACTGCGACTAACCCTGCGACTCTCCCTCTCTCTCTCTCTGCTCTGCTCTGCACACTCTCTATGCCTCGTTCTAGCCCTGTCTTGTGTGTGGCAGAGTCAGAATTCCAATTTGTATTTGGATTTCGGATGGGCGTTAATACGCACTGATGACGACGACCGACGACCAACGATGATGATGATGATGCTGGGGTGGGGGGATGCTGTAGGATAAGGACGAAAAGTCCACTCATGTGTGATTGCTTCCATTTATATACATGTGTGTGTGTGGTGTGTGTGTGGACTATGGGAATCCTTTAGCTTGCTGCTACTATGCTGTTCAGCTGCTTAGCAGCGTTTGATATTGCGAAATTCTTCGTATGCGACATTTGGCATCTTTATTCGAATGTCTAAATTTTGGGCACCCAATTCACAGATATTAACTGTTCAGCTAAAGGAAAAATATTATTTTCTCTTGAAATTTGAACCAAAGAAATTCTTTTTGTTGCAGAACTTCGCTCAGTCTTGCTGAATCTTTGGATCTAGAATTGTGACAGACACACACACACACACACACACACGTAATCCTGCCACACATATGTACATATATGTATTTTTGTGTGTGTGTGTGTAGGTGCATGCCTCCTCCATCTGATTGTGTGCGACATGAACCACTGGGGAAATTAAAGATACATTAAATGCCCGCCAGCAAAGCCGAAGGCTGCGGAGTGCCCCGCCCAAGTGCCAGTGCCAGTGTCCCATACCGAAATCGTACTACTGCCACGCCCCACCACTTCCTCTGGCCCCATGTGCTACGCTCCGGAAAGCTACTCTCAAGTCCTACGGCCAATTTGTTGTACTTCTTTCTGTGGCTCGCTGTCTCGCTGTCTCCGCCTCTGGCATTTATTGTTTGGGCATTTACTCGTGTCCAGAGGCCCGTCTGCCCACCATTTCCCCTTTGCCGCCCAGAATATTCCACTAATTAAATTATCGACAAGTTTTGTCGCATAAAAGCAAACTGTTGCCCCCGAGCAGCAGAAAATAAAACGAGTAGCAGCGGCAGCAGCAGTGGCAGTGGCAGAGAGAAAAAAAAGAATTAGATGGAATTAAAGTGGCTGCGGCACAAGTTTAATCAAAGTTTTTGGCCGCTCGATTTTAATGAGCAACTTTTGCACATAAATAGAACTTAATTTTCTATTACTGGACTACCCACCTAACCTCCCCTCCCCCCCCCTACTACTACTACCCTATTCAGCGTTGAACAAAAGCTCAATGTCATGGGCTGGTGGCAGGGTGTGGGCCACCGGGGGCAGCAGCCCGTGGGCCCGTGGGCCGTTGGTCTCCCAAAAATAATGTCGCCAGAGCCAGAGACCAAATATATTGCCTGGCAAACTTTTATGTTTTAATATTTAATTAAAATTTTGTGTAACGTTTTGTTAATGAATTCCTATTTGACGCGCCGTCGCCGCTCGTTGCACGTGTCGCGTCCCGGCCGCAGGCTCAACGGCCATCCGGTTCGCCTCCCCCACTCCACTACCCTACCCAGCGCCTAGAACCCAATTTATTCACACTTTTTTTTTGGTTGCACGACTTCGCTCTATTGTTTTTAGAGATGTGCGCCAGTGTTGGGCAAGCTGCAGCCTAGCTACAGAGCTGGCTAACATTAAAAACCTTTAAAGAATGTTAATCATGGAATCGAAAACTGAATTGAAAATAATAATACAGGGAAGAGGAGAACTATAAGTTAAATATTGGCACTTTTCAGCACTGATAATACGTATGGCAGTGTTGGGCAACTTACATGGATTTGTGGCTGCCGAAAGTTCTAGCCTTTCTGACGATCAAAGTATCTGCAAATAAAAGTAAGCTGGCTGATAAATAGTTCTTCAATACAATATACTTTTGGTAGGTGAATAATATTTATAATACAATATATATATAATAATATTGTTTATTGTTTGCGCATAGCCTTTTATATTTACTTATATTATTTATATTATGTATTTATATATTTTTGTAATTCTTATTTACAAGAACTCGTATGTTCCCTAACAAATATCTGTGGCTGGTGAACGTAGCTTAGGATGAGTTTTAAAGCCCCCCTCCCTGTCACGCGGCCATCTCTAACATCACATTGCGTGTTTGTTTCCGGTCATTTCGGTGTTTTCTCGTTTATTTTTGTCTTTTTCGTTTCGTTTTTGTTTTGTTTTTTGTTTTTGATACCCCAAAGGAATGGCAAATTTATGAAATGATTTTAATTAGCTCAACGCTTTTCGTTGTTTTGTTGTTTTGTTGTTGCCACACGAAAACACACACACAGACAACACAAAAAACAGGAGGCAGCCATAGCTGCAGGGCCCTGGGACGGGCTTCGTTGCTTTGACCATTTTTATGCCGTTTTAATTTGAGGAATAGCACGACAAAAAAGGCGCCTGGGAAACAGGAAATCTGCCAATGCATTGGCAAGCATCAAACATGTAGCGAAATGGGCGCTAAAAAAAGCGTATAAAATAAAATCAACTGAAAAGTTTCATTGTGGCAAGCTATAAAGTTGCAAATGGGGCAGGGCGGGGCGGTGTGGATGGCCAGCATAATGAGCAATTATAGAAACAGCAAACAAGAGCGATAAAACTTATGACTGCGACAGCGACATCGACGACGCTTATCAAAAGGCTTCTCTTCTCTATCCCCCATTTCCATTTCCATCCGCCCAACGCTATCCACAAAAGTTTTTTTGTAATATTAACTGGTTCTGGAGCTCCCGAGCTGTTGCCCTCGCTCTCGCTGCCTCACGCTCAATGAGCATTTTCCCCTCTGGGTCGGCTCTCCGCGCTGTTCCTGCTCTCACGCTTATGAGATTTTTGCACGCTCACGCTCCCGCTCTCGCTCTCGACAGCCAACGGCAGCTTACTTTTACACCCACGATCAATTCGCTGCACGCGACCAAGAATAAACAATAAAGATGATATACATTGAAGAAACTTGGACTTTCCTTTCGACTTCGGGATTCTGATCTGTGGGAAATGCTAATCATAATCATTGTTATGTATTACACATATCAAATTTTTTTTAATAACTAAAGCCATTCTCCTTTGAGCACATAGAACCTGTGGCCAGATGTGTGTGTGAATATTTTCTTTACCAGTTTTTGACATTTTGCTATCTACAGTCAAAGTTCCATCAACTGCAAACAGCAAACAGCATTGTCGGGCGCACAGTAGTTTCCCATCAGCAGTCAGTTTTAAAGTCTGAAATTTTACAGTTTTGAATGCACCTGTTTGGCCTGCAAACTAAAACTAAAACTCGGGCAAATTCTTTCGTTCCGAACAGTAGCTGGTAGCCCCCCTGCCACCACTATAAGCCCGGTCCGGACAGCATTTGAGCGCATTAAAAAGTTAGCAGATTTTTTATACCAGCCCCAAAACCCTGGCCATCCCCTCCCTCCCTCATTTCCATGGCCCCGTGGAGCAGCTGGACGAAAGGCTTTATGCGAATGATAAAAGTGAAATGTGTAAAACCGCACAAGTCCTCGTTTCGGACTCAACTCTCGGCCCCTCTCCTTCTGTTTGGAGAGAGTGAGAGAGTGGGAGAGAGTGCCAGCTAATTGCAACTAAAAAGCTGCTCATTAAGCCCCAGGATTTCCCATGGGACCCAACCCCCCCTAGGCCCTAACCCGGGATGGTACTACCCGGAATGGTACTCCCCGGAATGGTGCTAAATACAATCAAATTAGTTCTTTCCGCTTCTGAAATTATGCGACTTCCGGTCCAACAAAATGCGTCCACGTGTGTCTGTGTGTGTGCCTGTGTGTGTGTGTGGGGCCCTACCTTTTATTTATTTTTTTTTCATTTCGTGCTTTCTTTTTTGTTCATTTCGGTGCCTTCCTCTGTGGCAAACGTCAGCGGATTGTCAATGATTTGAAGCTGGGGAATACTTGCCAACGGAAAGAGGGCAAGAGAGTGGAGTGGAGTGAGAGTGAGAGAGAGAGAGAGGGGGAGCGAATCGGAGGCAGTTTAAGTTAATTCGGTGTGTCGCCGGACGAAGCCCTGGCCATTGGGGGCGATCTCATGTACATGTGGTGCCACATATGTCATGTTTATTCGGGAAATCAGAGCTGCTAGGGAAAGGAATGAAAAAACAACCCAGAAACGGTGCCCGAATGGATTGAAGAGACATTATTTAGGTGTGTAAACTAATTATTTGTGCAGATTTAAATATAGTTTCATGTCAGCATGAATTTTATATGCGATGCATGATGAACAATAAAAATAAATTATTATTATTATCGTAATTAATTAATTAATTATTGCAATTTAATGAGAGAAGAGTATAATTTTGTTTACTTGGGTATTTTGCAGCATTTTCTTGTTCAGAACTGCATTTAGCTCCAAATTGTTTGTGTGTTGAAATGATTTTGAATCTCGATCTTGAAACTGCAAGAAAATTGCAAAAATATTTTCAGTCGAGATTTTGCAGATTTTCCACCTGGTGGGCATATTTTACATGCATACGAGCATGCCATGTATATGTTTGTGTGTGTGTGTGTGTGTGTGTTTGTGTTGTAGAGGCAACCATTTTTCGGTTATCTTTCAGCTGGGAAACGAGCCATGAGGCAGGGCCATGAGGCATAGCATGAGGCGGGCGGTGCGGCATGAGGTGAAAATGAACGTGCCACAGAGCTGCCTGCCTGGCTGCCTTACTGCCTGTCGTTTTTGTTGTTTAGTGTGTGGCACACATTTGCTCCCATAGAATGGGGCACACGGTCAGAAAAAAGAGAGACAGGGAATGAGAGAGAATGGGTGAGAATGGGAGGCACACTGGAACAGGAACAGGAACAGGAACAGGCATTTGGGGATTTATTTGCATTTTGTACTTTTGCACTGCTGTTGCAAATAGTTTTGCCGCAATCTGTGTCGTCTCCTCCGCCCCCGCCACCGCCTCTGCCTCCGCTGGCTGTACCTTTCCTTCAACTATTTTGTTTCTCTCTCTCTCTCTCTCTTCCCCTTGCGCTGTCCTTCTCTCTCTCTCTCTCTCTCTCGCACACTTTGGCTAACGTCGCGTTTAAAAATTTATGAACTTTTCCATACAGATATTTTAATTTTTTAGTTTCTTTGGCCTTTCACCCCCCACCCCCACCCCCACCCACAGCCCAGCCAAACAACGAGTCAACGTGCGGGACTAAGCGCTTAAAGCGCCTTCCCTTTCCCTCCTTCTCTCTGTCTCGCTCCACCCTCCACTCCGCCCATTCTCTCTGCTGTCCATGATGCATGACTATGTAAATAGACATTTTTACACTATGAACACAGTTTTGGGCATATTACAGAGTCAGATTTTATTTTATTTTATTTTATTTTGCTCCGTCGTCCGCTTGTCCTGCAAATTTGTTTGTGCACTCGCTCGCTCCTTTTGCTCCGATTTGGTATTTCCTTTTTGCATAATTTTATTTGTTAACTTTCTGAATTGCTGCTACCGTTGAGAGGAGGCCACTCTGCCACACTCCTCTCTCTCTCTCTCCCGCCCTTTGCCTCCTCTCTCTCTCTCTCAATTATCATCTGTCTCTATCTCTTTGCATACTTGATGAGCTGTGAAAATATGCCATGTGGATGCTGGATGCTGGATGGTCCCAAATTGTGTATAATTTACGTTGGCAATTCTGACGGGTCAGTGGGGGTCAGACGGGGAGTATCTGCTCGAGTATTTCGATCTATTAGCTGGCTAAGTAAGAACAAATAATGAAGCAGCAACACCTGAGCACCTAACACTCAACAGCGCCTACCATTGATTGTTCTGCGATTCAGGATTCAAATTCTGCTCGATCAATCGTGACTGGAGTGGATCGATGTTGATGGATCAGTATCTACAATTAGCGCTCGATCGATCGATTTGGTATGGGGAAAGCAGAGAGCCATTGATTGCATTCGTTGACTGCATCTTTGGCCTGGTTTGTTCATAATTTATGCCGAAACCAATACCAAAACTTGCCAATGCAATGAATGCTAATCATTTCGACACGGCTATCAATTAAACGCTGAGCAAATTTCTTGAATAATTGGGAAGAAGCCTGCAATAATTCTGCGACCCACTGCGACCGATGACATTTCATTGGCTGCGAGGGCACTGAAATGAATAATTTGAAATTTGAAACACGGAATCGGGGAAATCAAATGGAAATTTTTGCTCAAAGTCCTAAAGCGATGTGACAACTGAATGCGGCTGCTCTTTTTTTTTTGTACTCTTTTATTTCCCCCCTTTCCCAACCCCCTAACCGAGTGAGTGTTCTGTGTGGAACAGAGCTCGTTATTCGCCTGTTGCCCGTTGATATATTCATGAGAGTGCTTTATGGTGGCTATATACAAGTACATAGATATGTACATATGCCTGCTCTAATGGATATGTGAGTGAAGTGAAGTGAAGTGAAGTGAGTGACTGCTGGAACAGTGTGGAGGGGGCGGGTGGGTCTGTGGTTTGGCCGTAGCCGTAGCTTTGGGGTCGGATAATGACAAAAGGCGTGGCCAGTGGCCAACCGCATGATTATGCTCGGGTACCTCCGGTCCGCGCACTTCGCAAAATAATGAAAATGAATTTTCCGCCTAAGCATATTTAATCTTCGGCCAAAGCTCATGTAAATTTCATTGAGCAATCCGATTGGCTGATCCAACCCAAATGCTTAATCGTGACTGCAGCTGGCTGGCCATTCGAAGCACCAAATACGATCGAAGCCGAAGTTGAGTTGAGTTGACATTAACCGTTGCGGCGGTTGATAGCACAACTTATGCATTGTTATCCAACACTGAAATGTGTCGCGCAGCGCTTGAAAATATTTATTTTAATAAATTAAATGCAGTTTTAT